AGGGCTCACTGAGAAATCAAGGACAATGGCACTGGGTTTTGATTCTACTGCATGGTCTGGCTTTGTGGGAGCCTAGTTTGTTTGGATGCTCACCTTTATAGACCTGGATGGAGGGGTGAGGACCTTGGACTTCCCACAGGGCAGGGAACCCTGACTGCTTTTTGGGCTGGCAAGAGGGGGAGGTGGGCATTTGGGGGAGGGGGAGGGAAATGGGATGAGGGGAGGAAGTGGAAATTTTTAATAATAATAAAAAAAAATCTCTTTTTTGGTTAGGAGCTGCTTCATGGGCTATAACCAAGCAAAGTTCAATGTTTCTGAAACACCGACAATTACCTTACAAACACACAGACACACAACACACAGACACACACACACACACACACACACACTCATACCATACATATACAGTCATGGACACAAAGACAGGGAAACACAAACATCACATATATAGACAGAGACACAGACAAACACATACACACACAATACACTGAAATAATTTACACATTTTTAAAGTTTTAAAACATAAAGACTTAGTAATACTGAAGTATTGTAGTTATTATCTTTCACTTGGACAACACAACATCAGCCTTTAGACAAATGGTGTTTTCATGTTTTCTAGATGGTTTTTATTTCTTGTTTCTAATCATTTATCACAGATATATTAGTATTTACTCACTGTGACCCAGAGAGTAAATTTAGTTTAGCAGTAACACTAATTTTGTTTACTAATTTTTGAACTTATTATGGGCTCCTCAGCTTTTTAATTATTCATTCAAAACGTCACTTTTTGGTTTATTATGACACTGTTTATTCTCTTTGTTTTTTCGAGATAAGGGTTTCTGGTTGTTCTGGAACTAACTCTGTCCTAGAGTCAGGCTGGCCTAGAACTCATAAAGATCAGTCTGCCTTGGCCCCCCAGCCGTGGGATTAAACACATGTGGTACCACACCCTGCACTGTTTACTATCTTAAGAGAAATAGCCAGGTGGTGGTGGTGCACGCCTTTATTCCCAGAACTTGGGAGGCAGAGGCAGGTAGATCTCTTTAAGTTTAAGGTGAGTCTAGTCAAAAAGAGCTGGTTTTAGGACAGGCACCAAAGCTATTCAGAGAAACTGTTTAAAAAAATACACATACATACATACATGCATAAGTGTGTGTGTATGCATGCATGTATGTATGTATGTAAAATCCCTGAGTTTTGCCTATGCCAAAAGCTTTTCTTTAGAGTTCTTGTTATTAGTTCCTTGTATGATTACTATCCAGGTTATTATCTAATTCAAATTCAACAGGAAACTTGTTCCTATTAGTGATTGCTACCAAATACTACTACTACTACTAACGTATATTTTAAAATATTAACTCTCCTAAGGATTTGATGATAATCACTTAGCAATTTATTTGTGAATTATACAGGTGATCATGTTTAATGACAATGAATGAGTTGTCACATGTTTAGTAATCCCGCATCATTTCTCTAGTGAAATATCTTGAATTTTGCATGTAAATGGATGGAAATAGAAAACACTATCCTGAGTGAGGTAACCCAGACCCAAAGAGATGAGTATGAATCTTCATCCAGTGATAGAGGCAGAGACCCACACTGGAGCACTGGACTGAGTTCCCAATGTCCAAATGAGGAGCAGAAGGACGGAGAACATGAGCAAGGAAGTCAGGACCACGAGGGGTGCAGCCACCGGGACAGTGGGGCTGATCTAATTGGAGTTCACCAAGGCCAGCTGGAGTGGGACTGATGGAGCATGTGATCAAACCGGACTCTCTGAATGTAGTTGTCAATGAGGGCTCACTGAGAAGCCAAGGATAATGGCATTGGGTTTTGATTCTACTGCATGGACTGACTTTGTCGGATCCTAGTCTGTTTGGATGCTCACCTTCCTAGACCTGGATGAAGGGGCGAGGACCTTGGACTTCTCACAGGACAGGGAACCCTGACTGCTCTTTGGACTGGCAAGGAGGGGGTAGGTAGTTGGGGGAAGGGGAGAGAAGTGGGAGGAGGGGAGGAAGTAGAAATTTTTAATAAAAAAAAAGCTCAAAAAATAAAATAAAATGAAAAAATATGAAATGCATAAAAAGAAAATAAAAGTGTAGTGTTAGTTTTACCAATCCCCCCCCCCCCCATAGGAACTGCGGCCTTTCACTACCAAGCAAGAGCAACTGCATGCTCTCTAGATGCTGACTACGGAACTGAGCTAAGGGCAGGGAATTTGATCACAGAAATACGTTAGAAACAGACAACACTAGCGTTAGATTGTTGGTAACTCAAGCATTTAAAATAGGATATTTACCAAGTAATTTACTTTTAAGGACTAAGATGTTTCACATTTCCTTTAAATGAACATACTCAGACACTGCATCACTGTAAGAAGAGCCGGGATTTCCGTATCCGCCCTGAGGAACCCCAGCATTTGAGTTTCCCATGGGACTCCTCAGCAGGTAAATGTGAGGACAAAGTCCTCACCACAGTTTGCTCTGCTCTGCACATCTTGCTATCACTTTAGGTTTCTCACACGCTGGGTCTTCGTTTTTTGGGGGGAGTTGCTACTGAACAGCAGTGTACTCGAAATGGGACTCAAGGAATCACGCTAAGGCTGCTGAAGAGGGAAACAGGTAAGATTCAAGGGCTGAACACGACTGTCTGCAGGATGAAGTGTGGAATGGTGGCTCTGCAGAGCAAGCACAGTCTCTGAAGTACTCCGACATTTTCATTTCTGGATGTTCTGCATATTTACAACTCACTAGTGCTTTTCTACATACTAGTAAGTAACACAAACTATCTCAAGCGAGAACTTGACCAAAATCCATTGGCTAATACTTATTAGAAAACGAAACAAATGTTAGTCACTTGACGGTAATCTGTTTTGCTTATTGCAATTTTCTTAGGAAAAGATTTCTTCCCCCTGCCTTTACAGCAGGATTATCATACAACATATAATACACGGCAGTAATTTTTAATTTAAAATAGAATTCCCTGACTTTTTCTATTTCTATCAGTTATAAGATTAAAAACACATTTAATAATAGCTGAATAAATATAACTAAGTTAAAATTAGTATATATATCTATATATATCTATATAATATTTTCCCTCTATAAGTTTTAGATTGTTACACTGAGCCATATTTTCCTATCTGGACTATATTTAAAGACATAAATCAGCAAATTAATTAGGGCAATTCACAAGAAAGGACTGGGTGTAGGACACATAAGGGGTGAGTAAAGAAAGACAACATTCCTTTGCCACAGTCATCTGGGGAGAACCTACCAGGAAGGGGTATAGGAGTTATAAATCACTAAGAACTAAATGCTATTGGTAAGTTACTATCCCTGGAATGAATAAGGATTTTGCTGTTCTTCTTTTATCACTTGCTTCATGTGATCCAGGAGCTATGCTTCTTTTTACACAAACAGAAAAAAAGGCAAACAAACAAAAAGCCAAAAAACAAAGAAAACTGTATGAGTAACAAAATGTATAAGCACAGTAACCAGAATATTATAACACAGTGCCTATATTTCAAATTATTTCAATAGCAGATTTGACAGAAGCAAGTGTATACCATATCTGGAGGGTAAAACAAAGCATTAATAAGAAAGTAGATATAGTTGGCCTTTTAAGAAATCATTTTTATAAAAATCCACATTCATAAACGTAAACTACACATCGAATTTCAGAGACAAAATTCGTAGACTGTTTTTCTATTTAGCATCTTACTGTGAGAAAAATCACTGGTCTTGCTTATGCTGTGCTCCTCCATCCAGCTTTTGCTGAGAAACCAAACACTGGTAGAGCATAGGAGACATTGAAAACAAAAGGCAGGCCTTCCCTTGGTGAGATTCTATGTCACAGACCTAAGCAAGAGGGCACCCAAGCAAGAGGGCAGCCCTGGAACGCTCTCTTCTCACCTGCACACTACCACGTCTCCAGAGAGAAGCAATGGATCCATCGTTCTGATGTGTCCTAACTGTTTCAGGGCCAAAGTGACAGGGTTATGACTTTGTGTTTAAAGGAAGCTTCATTCCATAAAAAGAAAACCAAGCTCCAACTGTAGCCCAGCATCCTAATATGGCCTAGATTTACTTGTCATTTTATTTTTGTGAGGTTAAAAATTACTGGAATCTGTCAATGAGCAAAATTATGCTGGTTACTTTGAAGGAATGCCAAGTACAACATATGTAGCAATACTTTGTTGGCCAACTAATAAAAAATATTTTAAAATATAAGCTGTTAATATTTAAATAATCTCAGAAAGACTAAAAAGAAAAGTGAAAATAATAAAGTACTTCTCATCTAAATAAAACTCAACTCACATAAAATGCAAATGTGTTGGAACATCTGAATAACTATTTTACTCAACAAACACATTTTTGAAAGCTGGCCTGCAAATCTTTAGTTTCAAAACTGCTGTCAAATCAAACTAATAAGATAATTTTCATCGCAAAGTTTGACACTCTTGCAATGAGAGTGATTAAGAGTTCTTGATTAAGAAAATATACTGTGTCTGCAATTATTAAACAATGCTAAAATTACAGCAGTTTTCAAGCTAGAAATGCTGATTGTTGATTGTGTTTACATAGTAAGGCCCATCTCAAAAAGTAAAACGATATTCACCTTTAAAGACATATATTTGCTCAATTCTATAACTATGCAGACAAGCTTAAATTATTTGTAAAAATTCTTGGAAGACACACTAAAAGAAATGAAAAGACCAACTTAAAAATTAATCCTCAGGGCTATGAAAAGTAATTACAGTTAAGAAGTAGTCCAAAATTCCCATTAAGCCTACTACCTGAATATACTTGCTAATGAAGATAAAATGCATGTAAAATTAAAAAAATGATTGATATTTATTTGTTAGATTCCTTGAAATCTGATCATGGTGCATACATGTGAATGAACGAATAAATCCTTAACCCACCATCATCTCTGCTCCGCTTGGCAGGCAACCGCTGTGAGAGTATGGTGTAGATGGAAGGATGATACTGTACCTGGTTAGCTCTGGAGGTGGTCATGGGGTCAGATGGAGAGGACTTGGTGGTAGTTGGGGAAGATGGCAATGTCTGGGAACAAAGCAGTTCAGGAGCAAATCAACCTTTATGAGCCTTAAGCTGATCATTAAACAAAACAAAACGAAATAAAATGTAACATAACGAGAACAAAATCCTATGGCAAAAGTTTTCTCCTAGTCATTCAAATTTAATGGAATTTAAGATCAACTGAGTAACTAATACATGCAAGAATGCATGCATAAGCATGTAAAAATAAATCCATGACTGGAAATCATGATGGTGACTGACAGAAACTCACATGAGAGCTAAAGGCAGCCTGCCCCTATGCATGGACAGCAGGCCCATTTCTTCCCCGCTAATCTGCTTCGGGGAAAAGAGATGTCAAAGAAAATTCAAGAAGTTAGATGAATAAAATTGGAGGAGTCATTTTCCTATCAATGAGTACAGTTGGAGACTTGAAGAAGGGGTGAGATGAAGTTTACTTTGGCATAAAAGTATCCACCTACTTAATAGTTGAACACCACCAACAAGCTGATTCCACATGAGTTTAGGGATCCATACATAAAAGCAATTTAATTTGCAGTTCTGAGTTCTTAATATCACATTATCTTCTAAAATATTAATTTTAATAAACTTAGAGACATCTGAAAATGTAAACATTAACCTCATATTAATAAGCATGTAACTAGCAGCATTACCATATTTTATCATTTATGCTAAATGGTACATAAGATAGAAAAAAGTATAATGTATTGTAGCATTGTTGTCCTATGTTCAAAATCATCACAGATATTATGAACTGAATTTTCCGTCTCCTTATAAGCATATACATATGTACAGAGATGTACACACAGCAACTCATCCATATTCACGGAGTCATTCACCTGGGTTCTCCAGAGGTCTTTAACACCTAACAAGACAGTTTTAAAGTTTAAGGGCTTCAGAAGTTCGTTTACATATCATATTGCACCTAGTCATAAATCATGGCTAGGCAGGGATCTTTAAAAGAGTGTTTCTTAATAGGCAAATGGGATAGTTTTCTATAGCTTAGATAAGCCTATACAATGGGTATTATGTATTACATTGTTTCGTGTCCATCGAAAGTACTGAAATATGAACAAAGGCCTAACCTTGGAGGTTTGAAAGTTTGAGAAAAAGTAAATAAAAGTGTTCATATATCTGTATTTAAGGTGTCAGAACTGCCAATTTGGATAAAGCAGTTAAGAATAAAAGTGATGGTGATAAATTTGAAGGCTCTGTCAGTTCACTGCCTTCCACCGACACAGTGAGACTACTTGCACCATTAGGTCATGTTTCAGGGAGTCTTTCCCTTGAAACATTTTCTTTCTTAAAATTTAAAACAAATGGAGAAGTGGTAGACCTCATGTGGTGTTGAGCTAGGGATTTTTTTCAAGTCACACAAAGAACGAGAAATGTTACTAGGTCAGGGGTAAAGCCTTTGGAAGGCTTTCAAAGTTTCAAACCTTTTCTTTTCTATTTAAGGCACTTTATAATTATTTTTTGTCAGTTTTCTAGAGAAACATTATTTTCCATCATTAAAGGCCATTTTAATATGCATTTTTCTGTGCAATGAATATTGAGGTATTTTTAATGACAACACACTGCCACATGTTATATGAGTTCAACATTAAAGGCTTCATTTTTTTCAACCTAGCTTAATAACATGGAATTATGGGTGGAGTCAAACACATTTAAGCATTTGTTCTGCACTAAGTCCAACACTCAGTCCACATTTATGACTAAATAGATTTCAGACCTAGGGTTCCTTTCTTCCCATATAAGTTCATGCTATACCAAACCCAGATACCATATGTCCATGCTCAGCAGAATAGAATCAATCTCAAGTACAGGATGGATATCAGCACTTGTTTCAGACACGCACCCTCAGCGAGGTGCTTAAACAGTGCAAAGAGACAGATGTAAAAAGCAGTAGCGTGATGTGGCTCAGAACTTGTAATAACTTAGATTCAGATGATCTGTCAAAATTTATTATTACTCCTTATGATTCTCATATATTCTGAATATCTATTAATAATTGATGCAACTCCTATTCATCAAAATTGTTCTTACTAATTTGGTTGCTCTCCCTTTCTTCTATGAATAAAATAAATAATTTAAACTTCTGAATTATATTAATGTGCTTTAAATAACAAAGTTTTATCATAAAGCCTGATGATTAGATAGGAAGCTACATTTTAATATTTCACACAGGTGAGGATTACTCAAGTGTGCACATATTTCAAGATCATAGCAAAGAGTTAGAGTCTTTCTCTGGTGAGGTGTCTACTCAACTCTAGTGGCAGAAAGATGGACAGCTTTCCTAGCTACTACTCAAACAGGCCCTTGGATGCATAAAACACATCTTCCTTTTATAGTTGCAGTACTAATTATATTCTAAGCAGTTTCATATCATTTAAAATTTCATGCTTTTATAAATTCTAGAAGGAAAATTGCTTCAATAAACAGATGAATATGAATATATAAAAACAATGCCTTTAATTTAACGCTTACTATTAATTGGGCCAATGAAATAGTTGAGAAAATTGTTCTTAAGTCTTCAGATATAGACGACAAATCCATGTAAAGTGTTTTGAAATAAAATACAATTGTTCAATGATTTTTCTTTACTATTTAATAAGTAAAATATTCATAGTAAATTACTATTCAGTATTAACCCAGTGATATATTCCTCAATAATATACATCATGACTACGTATTTAATTGAATATCCATGTAACATCAATATGCAGATAAATTTCTAATGTATAAAATCTACAAAGCACACATATTTCTAATCTATTTTTCCCTTTTAAGTAGAGATCATGAAGGACAAAGAAACTTTGATCCCTACTTTTTTCTCTATAGATACTATAGGGTGAATTATGTTACAGAAATTTATATTTTTTTGAGACAGAGTCTCATTATATAGCATTGGCTGACCTAGAACTTGTGATGTAGACCAGGCTGACCTTGAACTCAGAGAGATCTGTGTGCTTCTGCCTAAAACAATGTACTTTTTTTGAAATATAAAGCATTTAGTAATATCAAGATTTTTAATTCTAGAGATTTAGTAAAAGATTGATAAAACTCTTTTGAGAAATAAGAACTAAAAATTTTTAACAAATTATATGATGAATTCATGTTAAAATGTGAGTTTTTCTGGTCCAGAGACTATTCCTATAAACAAACTCTAGAATAAATGTATCTTTACTTTAAATGATTCTTTAGCAATAAGCTATTAAGAACATCTAATATTTACAAGTAAAGCGGGAACAGTGAGTCTCAGCTGTTCTTCCCATGCTCACCAGTCAACCAGCCAATAACATTATTCCATAGTCACCTCTCCACACTCCATGTTTTCTATTAAATAATTCTTCTATACTAGTCCTTAAGAACAAAATATTTAAATGGCAACTGTCCCTATAGCTTGTCATTTTTTAAAAATATTTATTTATTTATTATGTATACAATATCCTGTCTACATGCATGCCTGAAGAGGGCACCAGGTCTCATTACAGATGGTTGTGAGCCACCATGTGGATGCTGGGAATTGAACTCAGGACCTTTGGAAGAGCAGGCAATGCTCTTAACTGCTGAGCCATCTCTCCAGCCCCATAGCTTGCCATTTTTGATGGACACCCTACCTGTCTTCCAACACTAACACCTGGTCCATTCATATCTATTTTTCCACCAATAACAATGCCTGAATAAATCTTCAAAATCTGGCTTGTTTTATTCACAAAGAACAATGAAAATGAAAAGATGCCTTCACTTTTAAAATAATCTTTAAGATGAATTAATGGAGCTCTTTCAGAAAATGAGGAATAATCTTGTCATCTATAATATCCTTCTTCCAAACACACAGGTCTTGCTTATCTGTCCTCACCTTGCTTAACTAACATGAATTTTCTCTAAATCTTAGCACAGATACACCAAATCAGCCAGTCCTGTTACTCGTCAAGGGCTGTGACAGCCTTCTCTCAAGTTGCATCATATCTCACCTTTCTAAAACAAACTTTTCTCCATCTTCCTTACCTAACTAGAGTCTTCTGAGGTTTATGGTTCACTGTTTAAACTGCACCTGTATAATATAAACATGTCTTCATAAGTTAAGCAATATTACAAGACAAGCTAGTATGAAGTACAAAGGGTATAATTTCATATATTTTACAACTAAGTATTTAATAAATTTATGTTTGAACAAATGATGTTCAAAATTTGAGGAATGTTACATTGAAAACTTATCAGAAAGGTTAATTCTGGTAGAGTTTTAGAAAGGTACTGGCTTTTTTTTTTTTTTTGATGTTCGAGACAGGTTTTCTTCATAGCTTTTGGTTCCTGTCCTGGAACTAGCTCTTGTAGACCAGGCTGGCCTCAAACTCACAGAGATCCGCCTGCCTCTGCCTCCCGAGTGCTGGGATTAAAGGCATGTACCACCACTGCCCGGTGGTACTGGCATTTTTAAATGTAAGAAAATTCTTTAAGTTTCTTACTTTTCTTTTCCCTTGTACAGCTTGGCTTTACAAAGGGTCCAGGATTAAGAAATGAATAACCTGCATCTATTACATGAAGCTGGATCTCAGGCACTGAAGAAGTTCATCACTGTCCTGCACGGAGGACTTTTGAAATGAGTATGCAGGACACGAGAAACCTCACTGGTATGATGCCATCAACCAAGAAGGATAGGAACATATGGATAGAGAATTATGGCTTATAAGATGTACATAGTTGGTAAACTGCATCTTAGAATACAGTGCAGGGCATAACTGATTAGAAAAGCACAACAGATAATGGGAAGTCAGTACTTTTAAAATCTGACTTTCTGAGCACCACATTTGACTTACAATTTTAAGTATAAATTATACATTAAAATTTTTAAATAGTAAAAGTTTAAAATTGTCAACCAAAACAAGCAATTAGGAATAATAATAATAATGGAAACACTAAGCAAAATTCATAATTTCATTTTTCACTTCAATCTGTTTATAGATTAGATATTTGGTTCTAGCATTTTGGTAACTCCAATTTTATTCTGTTTGTAATTAAAACTTGAAAAGAAATTATTTTCGGGACTAAATCCTAAAATAAAAGCAAATACTGGATCACTTGTTGTGTGCAAAGTTCTCAGCAAGACATCTTCAGAGTCTGTGGATTAAAATTTAAGCCTTTAAACAACAAGAAAGCCACTTTTTTCTACTCTATAACAAAGTAATTTACTTTGCAAATACCTATTCTATAATGTGTTAAGTGGCATCAGTATATGAGAAATAAAATCATAATCATTAAAATTTATATACTTGAGAACTACTTTGGTCATTGTTTGTTATGAAATATTAAACTGCAAACTAGATACCTAAGAAGCTAAAGAGCTGCAATGCTGAGCATAGGAAGATGCATTACTATAGGGCAAAAACACATTTATCCTACAAATTTTAAGAAACTTGTATCTGTTGTACATCGTACAGATAATGTGTGTTAAATACGCTGCCTCAGCACACTCAGGGCTCGGTTCCCGCATCCTTGTAATGACTCTCTGCTATCCGCATTGCTGATCCCATGAAAATGTAGAGCTTACCAATAATTTTTAATTCTATGAGTATCAAGGCATATCAATGAATGTAAGCATAAAAGCTTGATAAATCAATATTAACATTTAAAACTTATCCTAAATATAATTAATATCTGAACAAGGCAAACAAAAATCAGCCAAATGCTTTAAAACCCTGGTGGCAGTCATCAGTCTACACCGGCCCTGCATACATGACCGCCTGCCCATCTCATCTATGCAGCCATAGCTAAAACGGGAACTTCAAAAATGATTCACACTACTATTTGAGCGTGCTCGGGATTTGAGGCTACATAGACATTACAAGAAGTCTCACATTACTGTTTAGATAGAGTTTTATATTATTCAAGACATAATTTTATGGCTATTTAAAAAGAGACATCAAGTGGTCACCTAAATGTCTGAATGCTTAAATAGAAGTTACTGCAGAAAAGGGAGAATGAATAGGTTGGATTAAGGCCGAAAGCAAAGAGGGCGGATACTTCAGTGCTCACTCAGGACATTCCTAGCCCCACCTGGCCTTAACCTGGATATCTGCCATCTAAGACACCTGTTTTCCAATCTGATGAGGTCTCCGTATCATCGTCGAGTCGACGGGCTTTGGATTATTTTGTATTTTCCTGGCATGGATGAAAGAAGCACTTCACACTACTTAGTGATTGTGAATTTAAAAACACTAGTGTGTATAGCTTTAAGGTACGTAGATGTTGCCACATATCCATAAAGATATGTTCCCGTAGAGTTCTGAAATTACAGCTATTCAACACTGATGGAAAACAGTGAGAGTGTTCTTTGTATGGAGTCAGAACTACTTTCTCACAGTTTAAACAAGGAAGTACTTTAAAAATAGATTATTAATAGATAATCGAATATTACTTTATAATTTTGAGCATATAGTATCTAATTATAAATTCAAAGTTGATATACGATTAAATTATGATAGGTTAATAGCACTGGTTAATATATTTTCAGTTCAGAAACATGAAATTAATAGAATTTTAAACTACATTTCAAATTCATTACAAAGAAAATAAATTTTCTGTTAATTTATAAATAATACATTTATTCTAAAAATCACAATTTGTTGATAATAAAACTAATTCATAAATTAAGTGGCTAAATAAAAGGGCAAAAGCAAACAATAATTATGGACAAAATATCAAATATGTATACTAAAATATTTCTGGTGAAAGGATCCACCTTATTTAACATCAAGCAGTGTCATTTCCTACGTCAGCTCAAGCATTACTCATCTTAAAAATTCACAGTGCTTTTGTCATGAAAATTATTTTTGACAGAAAATTCCAAACATTAAAATTTGACATTGGGTCTTCATAACAGATATAGGTACTACACATTGATACAAAACATAATGGCTGGTTGCTAACAAAGGACTGAACTCTAGCTGTACAGATTGACTCACACACGTGTTGATAAAATATTAAACATGACAAATTGGCAAAACAGCAGCTGTAAGCAATACCTATCCTGAGAACTACAAATGTCACTAAAGTTGGGCATTGGAAATGTTGAAGATATAAATTTCATTTTCATTTTTTAAAATTCCTTTAAGAAGTGTTATATTTTAAAGAGTAGAATTTCATTAGTTAATAAAACCCCTGCCTCCATATCTGCAAGAAGCAATCACAAAGATTCACAGCAGTGCCTCTTTGTATCTCTCCAATAAATATAGAATTCAACTAATCAATAGCTTCATTTGCCAATCAAGGGCTTTGAAATTCTTAAAAAACTAAATAATGACTTTAGATAAGTTTAAGCCTTTTTCTGACAGGACTAAACTGCTTCCTCTGAAAGGAACTCAGACTGCACTGCGGGTATTCCTCTCTGATTTCCCAACCGAACACTCACTTGTTTGATGCGATCAGGGTTAACGGTGGTCTGAGGTTGTAGGATGCTGACTGGTTCTGTCTTGGCCACATTTTGGGGCATTTCCCGAATTTTTTCTGCAATGAATCCATGAACTGCATTCAGTGCTTCAACTGTTCCCTGGATCAAGCACACCCTCTCAGTAGTACCTGAAGATAGAAGATTCATTTTCAGAAAACATTCCTTTTCGTTTTACATTGAAATCTTACGAAAAAGAAGGCATAATATTGATAAAATACTGTAACGTATACAGCCCTGAAGTTCTAGTGTTCAACTGAAATTAAAGTAATCAATACATCTGCTTCGGTAAAATATGTCAGAATTCATTCCCTTCTTTTATTCTCATAAACAGGCATTTGGGTTCTAGAAGAACCAAAGATATAGAGATCAGAGCTCATCACTGATTCATGGGGATAAATACTCATGCAGTACTCAGAAAAGGCCTTAGGACTAGAAGCTGTAACAGATAAGAATCCATAAAAATACCTTTTAAGGAGCTCATTTTCTAAAATGAGTAAATCATTATACTTTTTGAATACAAGAATGTATATCAATTTTATTGATGATGTACTAAATACGGTATCAGGGACATACAAACAGGACTTAGATGGTCTAAGATACAATGTAGGAATTTTGTGGACACGCCTTGAGGTCATGACAAGCCAAGATTAGTTTTCACACTGTTCTGAGGCTGACTACAGCAGGCTTGACTTACCAACTGATCACATAGCCATTACTGCAGTGATCCAAACTTCATGACTTACAAATCAGAAATAAGACCTGTACTACAATTCTCACTGGTGCCAGGATTTCAAAACTCACGCCACTGTGTATGGAGAAAGTCGTAAGACTTCTAAGTTTACAAAAACAATCACAAAGACTTAATGCTGCTTTCAAGATGAAAACAATGTTCATCATTCCTTACAGGCAGATCTGTATCACAGGACTTAGGAACAGGACTATAATTATAGAAATATCTCAATTATATTTTCATATTTTTGTCAATGACAATTTCAATTTGTAAAGATATGTTTCTTGAGTTTTAGAGGAATTAAGAGCAAGCAGAGTTTATTTTTCAGGATGGATGGCACATAATGTAACCTGTGGATTTAGATTTTCCTGTTTCTATTAATCAATTTAAGTTACTCTTGTCTGTATTGATGCATCTTTTGGTCCTAGGGTAAACGATCAAGTTTATACGGACACCCAGGGGACACTTTACAAGACTGTATTAATTGTCTAGTAAATGACTAGAAAGGATTCCCGATCAATGCGGCTAGTGCAAAATGTTCTTCAGGTTCTCAGACCACACAGAACACAGATCAGATTACATCACTGCTTCCAGAGACACCACAGAGCACTCTGGGGATGCCAAAACAGTCTGGTTTAAAGGACGAGTTCCAAAGAAAGAAGCCTGGCACAATGTAACTAAACACTGTGTAATCCATGTTATTCTTAGAGTTTTGATTTAACATAATATGTGTCTGACCACAGCAACCAATGCTCTTCAGACTGTGTAGACTAACAGAAAATAAATGGAAAACCCTGATTCATAAAGAAATAGAAAAGCCTAAATATGACGTTACACAAGAGCAAGTGTGAGGCATTCTGAGGGCAGTTTGCAGACACACAGGAGATTGCCCGAATCACACCCTTTCCCTTAGGACCATGCAAACGAGGTGGGCCCGAAAGGAAACTTCACAACACTGGGAGACTTAGCTGAGACGTTGTTATATTCTGCTCCAGAATCCTAATGGCTTTGCACTCAGGTAACACAAAACCATAATTTTTTAGGAGAGAGTAAAAAAAAAAAAAAGAAATCCTGTCAAGTATATGACCAAACTATGTAACACAAATGAGCCTATAAATCATAAAAGTTGCTGGGTTTTGTCATTTTAAAGGCTTTTAGACTCCATTAGTGTCTAAGCTAAACTGCTAGATATTTATCATTTTATTTGCTTAATGGCAGCATTTACTACTCTCTGCACCAGAGTACAACAAAGCTGAGACTCAGCTACAGGAAAACGCACACGCATCCTCCATAATGCACAACACAGATATGCAGGACACCATTGCTTCCAACCGATACAGCAAGACCAGTGTGAATTCACGGCATCGTGACTGATTTCATAATGGTCACTGTCCTTCCTTACAACTTTTCACTGCCTGTTTCTTTTCGAAATATCCCTCCATGCTACTTTCATGTCACATATGGTAACAGATAAATTACAAAATATGTGTTCATAACAAGAAAGACCGTTGGCAAAGAGCAAAAGCAATGTTGAAAACGGCTTAATGTTTCTATTTCAAAGGCAATATCAAATATTTAAAAAACACATTTCTAAAAGAGGGTACAATTCCCAAGCAGATCATAGCAAACTCTTCACAGAAATGCAGTAAAATATATTCTCTGTGCTGCTGCAATTTTTGGCCAGACCCTCAGACCAGCTCCCGGGTATTTCTCACATGTGTCCTGGGTTTCATTCCTTTTCACCCAGCACACACTCTTCCTGTTTAAGAAGGACTTTCTCTGTATGCACCATGCTTTTTCTCTTGGATATTTTCAGTGGTTAAAGACATTAACATAATTGGGACAAGACATTTCTACAAATTTAATGAATTAAAACTTAGGCAGAAATGACAAATTTGGAAAAATTGAATGAAAGGCTAATGGAAAAATGTGCATGGAAATGTCAGTATCTCCATTCGATTATATGTGTCGATATTAGCAAGATGAAACATCTAGAACCATACACTGCTGGATGTAGGATCAAGCACAGCTCCATTGAGAAGTACATACCCCCAAACAACTGGAATGAAATGTAACGAAACAGCCTTCCACTATAGTTACAGATAGCATTGATAACTCAGAAAATGATCATACCAAAAGGAAATCACATTCCATCAGGGATGTGAAACACATTTATTGACAATTCATCCAGTTTTATAAGCGAATGAAAGATTATAAAAAAGACTTGACTGAAAGATATTATGATCAAATACAATCTAGAATTTGATTGGTTCCAAATTTAAAAAAAACTTTATGTAAAAGATAACTGAAGCAATGATAAAAAGTATGCATTATGTAGCATCAAAGGATCACTTTTAATTTGAAAAGCTGTGTCTATGGCACTCAATTAGATAAAAAGTACCTTATTAACTTGGCATCCTTTAAGGAAGTCTGGATGTTCTCCAGCTTCTGAACATCTAACCATAAATCTCAGTATCTCTCTCAGATCGACTCGATTATTACTTTTCCCACAATCCCACCCTACTTTCCATCACAGGTGTGTCTGGACAAACCCACTCTTCAAGTCACTGCTGTTTATTCTGTCAGCAGCATTAGACACAGCCGACTACCCTGTTTCTGGAAAAAAAAAAAAAAAAAAACAAACCTTAAATTTTTCTGGGTTCTGGTTTCTCATTTGTTCGCTCATCTGTCGAGCATTCACTGAGTCCTGACCACTCAAACACTGTACTGGAGGCTGAAGACACAGTCATACCATACCCTTCATGTCCTCACGGCGTTCACAGTGTTCTTCCTGGGTACTACACACAAAACATGGAAAGCACGCACCATGAAGAACAAGAGGAGGGAAGTGCAATGGAGACTATTTGAGGCCAGAAACAGTGTGAAAAGGTGTAAGGAACCGTACTTGTCAGGTTTATCATCACACTCCTGTTTCTTAGAACAGTGCTCGACCAACAGACGCCCCAAACTGCCTTCTAAGACATGACTAGTGTCTAGGCTCCATGGCATCGCTAAAGTAAAAAACACACGATTGACTTAGAAGGTTGTTGTTTGGTCTGCATTATAAAGTCAATAAATGTCTCTGGATTTGTAAGCTCAGCCAATACATGTGAAAGTGAATTTTGGGAAATGAATAAAAAATAAACTACAGTAAGTTATAAATAATCTCTATGTCCATAAAAAGACTATCAAAAAAAAAGAACTTAGGCAAAAACATGAGGACATATAATGAATTACAAAACTTTATTTTCAAAGTTAAAAATAAAGAAGATCAGAGCTAGCAAATGACTCAGTGGGCGTAGGAACTCTCCCACAACCTGAGGAGCTCGAGGGCATTCCTGGAATCCAAAGAAGGTGTAAGGAGAGAGTCAGCTCCACAAACTCTGACTTGAGGGTCTGCTCTGTGGCACCCAAGCCACTTCACCTACACAGTATAACAACAAACAACAACAACAAAAACAACAATAATAAATATTAAAACTCTATTCATAATTTCCCTAGCCCTAGCAGATTAAGGTTAGGGATTAGCATGTTTTTTTCACTGTTTATTCATGATTTTACATATGTCATTTTTTTTGTGGCTGCATAATACTTTATTATATACACAGAGCATATACTTTTATATGATCATATAGAAGACTTCACATTTCCAGCTTTTGAATATTGTGAAGATCCTTCAGTGATCACTAGTGAATACGTATTTTCTTAGGTGTCTATTTCTGATACTTTTGTGTATATACAAAGGAGCACAGAATTTCTGGAAAATATGTAATTATATATTTAGCCTTTTTGAAGACTTGCCAAATGATTTTCTAAAATCACACAACTTCACATCCTCACTATCAGTGTAAGAGGGTTCTAATTTTCCTTTCTGTAGACAACATTTATGCTTCATTATTGTAATTAAAACCTACACAAATGGGTGGGCAGGGCTCACTACAGCGAAACTGGCATTTCTCCAGTTGGGCATCTTTCAAGTTCTTATTGTCCATCTTTATTTCTTTGCACAATTTATGGGTTACCTTTCTATTATAGAGGTTTTGTAGTTCTTCCAAAATGATATTTTCCCCATCCTAAAGATTGTCTTTTTATCTGCTGATAATTGCTTTTGTGCACACAAGTTTTATTCATTCATGTTTGTGTGTGTGTGTTCATATGAGTCTGGAGGTTCACATACCATGGTACACTGGTTGAGTGTCAGTCCTCACCTTCCAACTTGTTTGAGACAGAATCTCTTGCTGTTGACTGATGAAGACCAGAATCCCTGGTCTGTGACCTATCTGGAAGCATTTGTCTTGGTCTTTCCTAGAGCAGCTCTGGGATTACAGATGTATGCCACACCCGGCCTGTGAGGGTTCTGGGTATTTGACCATGAGTCCTGTGTTAGTTCTCTAACCA